TGTGGTCAGAAATACTTTCTGAAACTTGAGGGGAACAGTGTAGACCAGAGTCTGTGGAGCCCAACTGTCTGGGTTTGGACCCCATCCCTGCCACTCACAAGCTCCAGAGCTTTGGCTAAAGCGACTTAACTTCTCTGCCTCTGAGTTTCTCCATCAGTGAAATGGGGCTGTAATAACAGTTTGGGGGCTGGCACTGTGGGATAGCGAGTGGCTCAAGTCCCTGCTGCTCCACTTCCAATCCAGCCCTCTGCTGTGGCCTGGGAAAGTAGTAGAAGATGGCCCACATCCTTGGGCCCCTGCACCTGCCTGGGAGACCTGGAGGAAGCTCCTGGCTCCTAGCTTCGGATTGGCGCAGGTCTGGCTACTGTGGCCAATTGGGAAGTGAAGCAGTGGATGAAGAACTCTCTCTCTCCTCTCTTTGGGTAACTCTTTCAAATAAATAAATATTTAAAAAAAATAACAGTGCTGGCCTCATGTGTGATAGCAGGAATTCAGTATAGCATAGCAAAGGGTCGCAGGTGCCTTGGGTGCACAAAGGCAATGAGGAAATGCAGTCACTAGTCCTGTTTCTCTGGTGTCTGTGTTGGGGGCAGAGTGGGATGAGATTGCAGGCAGTAGGCTTCTGTCTAAGTCCAAGAGGTCTTGAACTCTGGCTGTGAGGATGGAGCCAATAACAATATGGAAGCAACGTGGAAGATGGAGTGGACAGGAGCAGGTGAGAGACCAGCCAAGGGCAGAGGGAAGAGAGAGACTATTGACTGCATAGAACAGCACCATGTTTCAGATACAGTCGAAGATTTCATTTGATTGGAAAAAAAAAAAAAACCTTCTGTTATCCACTCAGCATTTCTGGACACATGTGGTCTTATGATATGCCCAAGGTGAAACAGGAGCAGGACCGCAGCTCAAGAGCAGGCCCGAGACAAGACGGTGCAAACAGGTGTGTCCTGTGTCGACACACAAAGCCCAGCAAGTGTCTGACGAGCAGACCAGAGCCACTGGGCCCACCTCCTCATGCGTCACCTGCCTTCTGCTGGAAACACATTTCCCAAAAGTGTCTCAGTAAGTTTCTCAATTGGCCATTTGCCATCAATTTTCTTTAGAACCATGCAAAACAAAAGCAAGCTAACAAGCTACACACACACACACACACACACACACGTGCCTAACTGAAAACCACCTCCCGCACACAGACAGAAAGAGACCGTAGAAGTGAGAAGGCCTGGGTTCCACTGCAGAGCCCACCCGTGCACTCCCCTTCTCTTGAACCTGTTTCCTCTCCTGAAACACAGGGGTCCCAGCGCTGGGAGGCCCACATGCGGGGCTGTCCAGGTGAACTGACACTCCAAAGTCAGCTCGGTGGAAGTGAGGTTCGTCTCCTTCAAACATTCAGAGGGGCAAAACCAACCAGGACATTAGCTTCTGACGACAGGATTTTAATTCCCATTACTTCCAAATGACTCGGCAGTGGGTCTCTGGGCCTTAGATTCTGGGAATACGTTATCAGTCTCCAGGAACTTGGGGAGCAGCTTTCCTTCTGGGCTTCCATAAACGCCAACTCTGGTTTTAAAAAATCATCTACGGCCGGCGCCGTGGCTCAATAGGCTAATCCTCCACCTTGCGGCGCCAGCACACCGGGTTCTAGTCCCGGTTGGGGCGCCGGATTCTGTCCCGGTTGCCCCTCTTCCAGGCCAGCTCTCTGCTATGGCCAGGGAGTGCAGTGGAGGATGGCCCAGGTGCTTGGGCCCTGCACCCCATGGGAGACCAGGAAAAGCACCTGGATCCTGGCTCCTGCCATCGGATCAGCGCGGTGCGCCGGCTGCAGCAGGCGGCCATTGGAGGGTGAACCAACGGCAAAAGGAAGACCTTTCTCTCTCTGTCTCTCTCTCTCACTGTCCACTCTGCCTGTCAAAAAAAAAAAAAAAAATCATCTACGGGCCGGCGCCGTGGCACACTTGGTTAATCCTCCACCTGTGGTGCCAGCATCCCATCTGGGCGCCGGGTTCTTGTCCCGGCTGCTCCTCTTCCAGTCCAGCTCTCTCACTGTGGCCCGGGTGAGCAGTGGAGGATGGCCCAAGTGCTTGGGCACTGCACCCTCTTGGGAGACCAGGAGGAAGCACCTGGCTCCTGGCTTCGGATTGGTGCAGCTCTGGCCGTTGCGGCCATTTGGAGAGTGAACCAACGGAAGGAAGACCTCTCTCTCTCTCTCTCTCTCTGTCTCTCTTTCTCTCTCACTGCTGTAATTCTACCTGTCAAATAAATAAATAAAAATCTAAAAAAAAATCATCTACATGAGAATACTCCAGAAAGCTTATGAAGTCCTGTGTATATAAAATGGTCATGGAAATTGGAGTTAAAAGTGTATTTTTTAAAAAAGATTTATTTATTTGAGAGTTACACAGAGAGAGAAAGAGAGGCAGAGAGAGGTCTTCCATCTGCTGGTTCACTCCCCAATGGCTGCAATGGCCTGAGCTGCGCCGATCTGAAGCCAGGAGCCAGGAGCCTCTTCTGGGTCCCCCACAAGGGTGCAGGGGTCCAAGGACTTGAGCCATCTTCTACTGCTTTCCCAGGCCACAGCAGAGAGCTAGATCAGAAGTGGAGCAGCTGGGACTCGAACCGGTGCCCATATGGGTTGCTGGCACTGCAAAAAAGCGGTGGCTTTACCCACTATGCCACAGCAGCGTTTCCAAAAATGTATTTTTATTCAAAAACTTTTTGTAACTTTTATGTATTATAAAAAAGCAATGCATGGATTTCAAAATTGTTTTGAACCAAAGTAAACTAATACTTTTCAATTCCAGTTTACATGAACTTTTAGAAGATCTTCATACAAAAGGGGACTTCATAAAGCTCATGGAAAGTGTGTATAATGAAAACCTATGCATGGAGTTTCCATTTTTTAAGATTTATTTATTTGAAAGGCAGAAAGATCTTCCATCTGCTGCTTCCTCCTCAAATGGCCACAACACCAGGGTCTGGGCCAGGCTGAAGCCAGGAGTCAGGAGTCCATCTGGGTCTCCCATATGGGTAGCAGAGGTCCTAGAACTTGGGTGATCCTCCACTGCTTTCCCAGGCAGACCCGCAGGGAGCTGGATGGAAAACAGCCAGGCAGGACTTGAACCTGCGCTCTGATACGGGATGCCTGCATTTCAGGCTGCAGCTTAGCTCCCTGCACCATCATGCTGGCCCCTCAGAAATTTTCCTGAATCCCAAATAAACATCTTTTAATTCCTTTTGCTACAAACTTCCTGAAGTGTCCTCACATACACATCTCCCAGTACTACAGAAAGGGGAGAGTTCTGAGGGTGAAAGGCTGGTCAGAGAGAGGAAGGAGCTCTGCTCCCGCGTGTGGGCTGCCTGCCTGCCTGCTGGACCCGGGCAGATAACGGAAGCACATCAGACACCCATTGCAGTTCTTGATAAAAGGGGAAGGGAGTGGAAACAATAAACATAACATTCCTTCAGCCCGGATGGACGGCTCCTTTGAGTTTGACAACACAGCACTTTTTTAGATAAGGGAATCTCCAAGCTCTCGACGCAGTTCTCATTTGTAACCTAACTCCTGACTGGAACAAGCCCAGACACCTTATAAGGCACTACAATCCCTCGAGTTCTCTGAGACCTGAGGCAGCCTCTCCAGATAGAAACCCGCATTCTGGTGGTCACCCCCGCCCCCCCTTGAAGGGATGACACCAAGCCGCTGGAAGTCAGGGTTTCTCTCCTGTGGTGTACAAAGGGAGGAGAAAAGCCAGAACTTGGGGCACCACACATGAGCTGTGGGGAGCAGGTCAGGGCCGGGAGATGGGCAGAGGTGGCCGCGGCGGCTCAGGAGGGTGCCCCTACACACTTTTTCAAGCCCTGCACACTTCCAGGGCTCCCCTGCTGTCTTCCCACAGCAGACCAGGGAGGCTGGGGAGCTGCTCGCTTCCTCCTTTAGGCTGAGGGAGTCCTACTCACACACGTGGAGATGGGGTTCCCTGCAGAAGACCCTTTGGGTGCAAGTCAGGATGGACAGAGGCCAAGCAGAGAGGAGCTGGAGCTCTCCCGCCTCCCAGCGCCCACCCACCTTGCACATGCAGGTGCGCAGGCTCTGCTTCAGGTAGACTGGAGTTCAGAGCCCTGCCCTGCCATCTTTTGCTGAGAGGTGTTTGCGGCCCAGTTCCATGGCCTTCGAAATGGGGGATGATGACTAGGTTGTGTGAGGACTGCAGGAGGTAATGCACCTCACACCAAGGACTGGCGATGCGTGCCCGCCCTCTCCTGAGCATGCCCCGCCCTCTCCTGAGTGCACCCTTTCGAAGCTCTTCCCATGCTCTGGGCGCGGGGGAGGTGGAGACAGGTTCCTGCTGCAAAAGGCACCACCAGAGGATAGACAGGGGCCACGCCCCTCGCCCCACGGTGAGGCTCAGGGCCCTCAGGAGGGGACTTCACTCAAGAAGTTCCATGGGCTTTATCATGTTCTGCTTCAGTCACTCAGGCTCCTGGCCTGGATGCCTCAACTTAACCACGTGACTTTTCTACCAATCCCTTTTGCCTATGACCTTGAGATGCTCACAGAGCAGCTATCATCGTCTGTGCCTGACTCCAGCCCGGGGTTCCGGCTGCTGGGGTGACTTCCTGAGACAGGCTTCAGCTCACAGTGATCACTGGTGGGCTTTGAACCCAGGGACCCCCTCCACACTCCCAAAGGAGGGTGACCAGAGTAGGCACGGTGACCGCCTCCCTAGACTCCCAGGCTCCTGCATGTCCGCTTTCCTTATTTGTCTGCAGGAGCAGGGGGTGGGTGGGCTGCAGGCTCCAGATGAGTCATTTCCTCCTTAGAATCAAGAGCTGAGGGTTGGCCGAGGCAGGAGGCCCACTGCAGGGGAGCCAAATGCCCACGGAGGCCAACCAGGATGTGGAGCCACCTCCACGCGGTGGGAGGAAATGAAACATTTACTGAGCACTCAGCACACAGGTCCTTCGGGGAAGAAAAGAGCAAGCGAGAGGGAACCACGAGCCATTTTTGCCATTTTATCCATTTATTATTATATACAATATTAAGGCACAAGTTGAAGCAGCAAAGAACAGGAAAATCTTTGGCTGACCGACAGTATCCACAGTTGCCGTGGGGGACACGCGTGTTTGTGGACTCCCCCCTGGCACTCTGCACACGCACCCATCTGGGCTGAACATCGCCCCTCACTACAGACCAGCAGCACGAAGATGCTCCAAGGTTACCCCAGGCATCGGGGACCCCGGGAAGCAACACAGCACACTGCCACCAAGCGCAGCAACGCACGCACACGGAGCAGGCGGAGAGAGCGGAGGCACCAGGGATGTCAGCGTTCGGGCTGAAACCTGGTGCCCGCCTTGCCCTTGTTTCGCAGGCTTTTCCACACTGTGTAAATGCTTCATGGAGAAGGAGGCTCCCTGCCTCTCCTCCAAAGGGAAAAACATCTTGGTTGAAGTCCAACCACTGTGGATAAACTTGCTTACATTCTGTTTTGTAATAAATACTTACAGGTGTCTAGATGTGAACAGAATCCTAGGCAAAGTCACATGTAAACACAACACTGGGCATCAAAACTTCAGGGAGCTGATCTAAGAAAATGCTGTATATATGCTTCCTTATATAGAGAATAGTATTTTAAAAGTTTCATGACAAACACCTCAGTCACAGCATAACATGACAATAACATGCACCTAAACCTAACACCAGCTTACGGAATACCTACTAAGGAATATGCACTTTCGTCTGTAGTGTGCACAGAGGTGGGGATGCATACGAGGCATGGCAGGAGAACAGGCTGTTAAACGTGACTATTCGTACTGTTCTCCCCTGGAGAGGTCACTCTGAGAGGCTATGAGACCGAAGACTCATTGCAGGGCACTTCTTACCTTTTCAGAAACTAACAGGGCGTGAATTACCTTAACTGCCATACTTATTCATCCAGCTGTGCTAGGAATAACTTGGGATTATTTCCGGCACTGAACTCTATCCCCAAAGGCTTCTCATTTCTAGGGGAAGCAAAGGAACGTGCCAGGCCCCGAAGGCTATTCGGATAGAGGAATTCCATAAATGTTCCCAAGGGAACGCCTTTGAGGAAAGTGGGGTGAGTGGAAACACTTGGATCTTCTAGACTTTCAGAACAGAAAATTCACACACAACTGTACAGGCATGCTGCACACATGTGCTCGCTTGTTCTCTCTCTCTCTCTCTCACAAACACACACACGTCTTTAGGTACCATTCAACTACTAAATGAGATGGCATGCCACTGCAAAAGAAAGAATCCTTTGCTCATTGGCTCTTGAAGAAATTCATTCATTGAAACGCTGACCATAGCTTCTTCATTACTATCTACATCTCCCCATGGGGCAACACATCAGAGGTAAGCCCCCCTGCCCCCACACACACTCAAATCCTCACACCAAAGGCAGACAGTTTAAACACACTGATTAATTGGGGATGGGGGAGAGAAATTGATAGAGCATGTGCCGTGGCTGCCTTAGCTTTTAGGATGTGGAGCAGCTATGGTGAGCTGGATGACTTCTGGCTACTTAAAAGCCTTTTCCACTTAAGAGCATCCACAGGATCTCCACACCATGGGTACAACACCTCTCTGTTTGAGAGGGGTACGCGAGATCACTTAGCACACTCCACTCGCTCCAGGGCAGATGTGGAACAAGACTTTGGCTTTGGAAGAAGCCCTCTCTTTGCTCAGCACAGCTCCCAGAGGTCCGCGTGTGAGCTCCCTGCCTCAAAACTTTTCCGCTCCAACGCGCTCTTCACTGCCTCCTAAATGCCAGCCTTGCCTGTGTTTCCCCAAGTTTTGGGGACTCAGAAAGTCTACTGGGGCAAGCTTGCTCACTCCAGTAGGACAAAGATGTTTCAGGCACTCCATCGCGAGGATACAGGTGGCTGAGGGCAGAGCCAGGTGAGAGCAAGGATGGTGAGGACCAGCTTCTCTGCAGGGAGCACTCTCAGAGCAACAGAACCACCGAGTTCTGGTTCAAGTTCAGTACTCATTTGCATCAACTGTCTCTATATCCACTCCCAGCCCTGTGCAGTCAAACTCACCCATGAGATCCAAAGAGCAGCCTCAGCAGGAGTGAGACCACAAGGGCTCCATCACTCCCTACTCTCTGAGACAGCCCTGCTCTGCACGCATGGCTACAGTGTGAAGTCCACACCGCCCCTGCCTACCAACCTCTGGGAAGCAGAAGAAATGCTGGGAGAAGAAAATGCTAATTTCTGCACAGACTCTGACATTTTTGGAAAACAGTGTTTTTCCTGGCAGCTTAGCTGTTTGGACCTGTAGGCAGTAATAGTTTTAACAGGAGTTCTGGGGGCAGTCCTCTTTCTCACACCCTAAGATGTGTGACAGCCATGTGCACGTGCCTATGTACATGTGTGCACACACACCACCACAGGGAGGCTGGGCATGGGAAGCCATGGTGTAGGCACAGCTCTTCCTCTACACCCTTGTTTTAAATCCCAGCTTCTGGCTGCGAGGCTTTGAGGAGGGACTCAACTTCTCTGAGCCCATTTAGGCACCCATGTCTTCAGGATAATAAAAGGTATGCAAACCCCAGGTGGCGTGGGGACTAACAGAAGGTAGCACAGTGCTTGCACACAGCACTAAACACATCGCTGGAAGCGTTTTTCTGAAAATCCAATGAGATAAGATACTGTAAAGTGCCCCGGAGTGGGAGGTACCTGTGACCCCTTTTTCCTGTAGGCGAGCTCAGCCTCAGGAAAGCTCACTGCAATGCAAGTGCAGCCGAAGACATTTTAAAGCTGGTGGCCCTCCTTCCCAAGGAAGAGGCCCAGTGAGCTCGGGAGGAAATGAAAAGACTGATGATGACTGCGGCACAGCTGTAGCTGACAGCCTGAGAAACGGTGCTCTCTCCACTTGTGTTTTGACAATGAAAACATCTGGTATTAAAAAAAAAAAAAAACTCAAAAACAAAAACAAAACAAAAAACAATTCTGGGAGACCCAGAAGAGTTGAGTGAGTGTCATGCCCAGATGCACCAAAATGCAGTATCTAGGGCGCGAGGACCAGGCTTCGGGAGCAACACGGCTGGGGCCCTGGCTCTAACCCACTGCTAGGGAGACGCCCGAAGCATGGGGTGGCCCAGACATGTGGTGGAGGCTGGCAGGGTTGCTTTTCTTTCTTTTCTGGTCCGTCCCCAACATGAATTGGAGTCGCCATGTCCTTAAGAGAGTTAGCTGCCATTGACTGAACCTCATTCCTGGAGAGAAGTGATAGGGAACAGTGACTGGGATGCCATCACTGGGCTCCATCCCTCTCACATTCACACTCAACCCCTTCCCCCACTTCCGGGGCCTCCCATGCTCTTCCCACACCACAGAACACGGGGTGAGCTTGGCGCTCAGTCTGGGGGCCGCCTCAGTTTCCCAGCCTGCACCATACTTATCTGCTGCTCAATGTGAGACTAGAGGAGGCAGCACAAAGCTGAGGGCCCACCACAGGGCAGAGCTTGCGAGAGTCAGCTCCCGCTTCGTCTTCTGGGGGGGGGGGCTCAGAGGCCTATCTTGCCGAAGCCGTGTAACTTCACCCAGGTCACTCTCCAAAGACCAGTCCTAGAAGAAGCCTGCCAAGCAGGTTTCCCAAGAAGCATTGCCTTCGAGGTTTCATTCAGGGGGCACCTGAATAAATACTGGACGGACAGATTTTTGGGAGCTGAGAAAACACAGATCCAGTTGAGCTGGAGGGAGAACAACATCAGATCGTGCAGGAGCACCTGGCAGCCTGATTAGCTTCTCCTCTCTTTATCTGGTCCAGCACCTCCTGGACGGTGGAGGAAGCCAGCAGAGGAGTCCCGTGAAACATCGCAGCAAGGGTACAGAGCCCCAGCACCCGACTCACTCCCGTGCTCTCTCCATGGCATTTCGGCCTCACTTTGGATAAGCTGTCCCCCAAACTGAAACCTCCAAAAACCCTAACCACATCCTCTATATAGATTGGCCTATCAGGTAACAAAGCAAGTTCCCGGCAGAGAAAGACCCACACACAGAAGCCTGCACGTTCATCCCCAGCAGTCAGAGGAGTGCAAGGGGGAAGGCAGCGTGGTGAACAGGTGTATGAGACAATGAGAAAGTGGCACAGGGCGCCTGGTGAGATTCTGGATGACCCCAAAACAAAATGGTTTGCAAACTCTCATCCAGTTCCTGGAGGGCTGCCCTGAACGTCTTACACAGAACAAAATGATGGAAATTTCAACTCCTCACAAGAAAGCTGACGGGAGAGTGACAAAGCCAGTGCCGTGATCTTAATGTAAGATGTACATGGTGAGCCGGGGCTCTCCTGCCTCATCAGACCTTACCTAGTGCATAGTCAGGATGAGATTAGCAGCTGCAGCCCAACTACGCCAAGTGGATAAAGCAGCCAGGGAGCCAGCATCTGGCCTTGTCCTCCTGGTAACTGGCCACTGCTAAACACAGCAGGGACGATGCCACTTCAGACACTGCGCTTATGAATCCCATGCCTCGGGAGTTCTGCCAAGTCTGATTACAAAGGAAGGAACAAACACAAAAGTAAAATTACAGAGCTGAGACAGAGATGAACTCGGAGGTTAGGGAGGATGAGCCCGAGCTGCCAGCACTTCCATCCTGTTGAGAAAATACTGCTGAATCCAAAGAAGCTGAGGATCCTTACCACCTCCTGAAAATCCAAACTGGACAGGTAATCAGGTGGAGAGCACCTTCCCAATCCCCCGTCATCCCTGGACATTTCTTCTCAGACACACACACTCCTACAGGACACCCCGTGTGCAGCGTGGGCAACACTGTCATACACTAAGATGGCTCTAGGGATTTCTAGGAGGTTCTTAAACCAAACATGCTGAAGGCAAGGAGAACAGGGCTATTCCCAGGAAATCCATGTTCAGGTTTGTCTGTTTATAGCCAGAGATACATTTTCTGTACAAAGAAAAAGTCCACGTCCTATTTCTACTTAACTTTGTTTCCAAACCTACATGCATTTTCTGTCTTCCACTACAGAGAATAAAAATCCATGGCCATGGCATTCTCCTCCATCTTCAGTCATGTAGGCTCCCGCTCTCGTTTCTAACATTTATCGAAAGTGTTCCCACTCCTCTGAAACCTCTTAGCAGTTCACAGCGTTCCTGATTTTCCTCCACACCTTCTTGAGCTTTCTCCTCCTCTCCGCCACCTTCCTTGCTCGTCAGGGTTCCGTCAGGAAGTTCACAGGGACGCAGAGTTAGATGAGCACTTCCATCATCTCGCCATCGGGGAGCTCGGGCTTGTGCAGCAGGCTGCTGACACGGCTCCTGTGGTCAGGTGACTTCCCGTGGCCAGGAGAGGTGTCTGCCAAAGAGGGGGAGACATCAGGCTCTGTGCCAGGACCCACTTCAAGCACCCCTGTCCACTGAGGAGTCTTACCACAGCGCACATGGGGAGGCCCACACAGTGCAGCCTACGACTCAATGACTGGCCCAGGTGGGGTCAGATACAAAGAAAGACAACCAGTGATGGAAGAGAGTTCAGTGGGTGGGCATGACGCTGGGACTGTGTGCAGAAGCTGCTAACAGCCGCTGTCTCTCAGAACTGTCACACACTCACTACAAGCCAGGAACTATTTACATGTTCCTTGCTTTACTTGGGAAAGTGCATCCTAAGAATTTCATCTCCAAAAAAGGACAACTCTCTATTGACTTGTCTCTCTTGGAGGATGCAATAAAGATCGTCCTGAAGGAAACAGTGACTCTGTGCTCCAAGTAGCCCCATTTCCTCAAAAGAATTCCTGCCAAGGGCTCTCTCCATGACTCTGATTAGTCCATAGCCAACTCACTCTTCCCCTGGGCACTTCTGGACTTGCTGCAAAACTCATCCTTCCCACATGGTCTTCAGTATATTAAACAATGTACTGGCCTGAGTGCCGTGCCACAAGTTACCTACTCTGCAGTGAGGTCTACTCCCTCCATCAGCCATGTCCCCCACGGAGGCCAGAAGCCCTCAGACGTCACTGCCTTGAAGGGAACATCTATGAGCCTGCTACCATTGATGCACCTGATGCCTGATACCGTCTCCCAAACATCCAGGAGGGCACCCACAGGAGTCTGCTTCGACTCTTCCTGAGGAAGAGGTAGTGATAAGGCACATACTACAACAGCAGGCTCAAGCTGTGTGCTCATTTGAGGTGGAAGTAAATCCCAACAGCCTGTATATGCTCCTCATGTTTTATCTCTTTAATATAAAGCATGCGCACCAGCCTCGTGCAGTAGGATGATCACCATCCTAGAGTGAAAGCTGCTTGGTGCACCTGCTGCTTCTCCAGCTCAGCAAGAGACCCTCTCTCAGGCCACGCAGTGCTGTGGTTCTTGGGGGCATAGAGGAGGCAGGCAGCACGTACCCAGTTTCTCCGCCACTGCTTTGGCCGCGGGGTGTCTCAGGACGGGGCTGTTGGAAGGAGTGGTGCTCAGCCTGCCACGGCTGGGGAGGGAGGCCATGCTGGGCCAGAGGAGTTCAGTGCTCTTGTCCGTCTGGGTGCTGCTGTCTTTGCTGCCCGTCTTAGCATGGGCACTGCTGGCTGACGTGGTGGAGGCTGCAGGGGGCAGTGCTGAGCCTGGGGGGGTTGGCAGCAGCGGGGCAGAGGCGTGTTCATGGTGCTCCTTCCCCAGCAGCAACCCTGAGGGCAGAAGAAGAGCTTTCTCAATGGTATTCTTTTTTCTCAAAAAGCAAAAGCACGTGTCTTGGAGATTATGTTCTTCTTGACTGATAATTGCTTCACTCATTCATTGATTCACTTACCAAGCCTTTATTAAGCACATATTATGTGCCTGACCAAATGACAAAGGGAATTTCAAACATGACCTGCTCCCTCCCTTCCTAGGCAGCGGAGGAGTTGTCAGGTAAGCCAGTTATAATAGAGCATGATCAGCTGTAGGATAAATGGGTTCACAGGGCGGTACGGGAGGACAGAGAGGTGTCCCAGCACCAGGGCATGCGGGTAGGGAGGTTCCTGCTAGGCTTCCCGTGGGCTCCACTCCTCCCAGCATGGCCCAGGAGGGCTGGTCTGAAGCAGTGCGGAGTGAGCACTGAGTAGTACATATTATCACCCAAGAGGTATCTCTGTGTTGGAAAGCATGGCACGCCCAAAAAGTGGGAAGCCAGTGGCGTGCCCAGCAAGAGCTGCTTTGCTCTCTCCCTCCCAAGGCCCAGGAGTGGTGAGGCTGGGGTGGAGAAGACGGCGTGCTGCCCAGGAAAAGGAGCCACAGGGCGTGCAGAGCTGTCCATTCTCCCAAAGCCTTCCTGCAACGCTAGACAAGAGGGTAACTTCTTTATTCTTAAATGCAGCACACATCCAGCAAGGTGTCAGCCCTCCAGAACGCTAGCCTATAGGAGAACCGGTAAGCCCAATGAAGTATGTGTTCACCTAGCTTGTTGACAAGCCAGCAATGCATAAAGCATCCTCACCAGGACTGCTTCCAGTACGCATTCGAAAGGGTGATTCATTTTGCCTAGAGCTCTGCTTCTCAAAATGCAATGTGGGCACAGGATTAAAATGAAGATTCCAGCAAGCGGATGGGGTCAGAGGGTCTGTCTTACAAGCTCCCAGGGCTTCACACATGGCCTCACTTTGTATTTCACAACGTTCCCATGAGGTAGGCATATCCTCTGCCTTACAGAGCAGGAGATGGAAGCTCAGAGCAATTAGCATCTTACAGCTAAGAAGCAGAAGCAGGACCCAGATCAGCTGTGCCTGCCTTGGAGCAGTGTTCACACCTCATCAGCTGCCTGCTGAAACTCCAGAATGTGATAGGATGTTCTTGTGGGGTGGCTCCTGGGAGTCCCTGTACAAGCAGGAAGGGACACACTGTCCCCTCTACCTCCTTCCAAAGGCCAGCGGGCAAGAGATGGCGGGAACATGTAGGAAACTGCAGAGGCCCTGCAGTTGCACCTCTGCCTGGTCCGCAGTCTCTCCCTGTTTTTGTGACACACGGACACCAGCCATAGTAATAAGGAGGAATGTGAGGTTAGAGAACACAGCGATCTTCCAAACCGACCAAGGTACTCAGGCTCTGAAATCTGGTGTAGACCAAACCCAGCGGGACAGCCTCAGACACCAGAGAGATGCCTGCTGGCTGCATGTCACAAACAGGCCACCCCCAGAGAGGCTTCCCTCAGCAAGCAATTTCTGCCTCTTTCCTGCACCCCCTCCCCTAACTGAGTTGGGGGCTAAGTGTCCTTGGATCGGTCTTTGATGATCCCAGCTGGTCTACACTCGTCCTCTTTGAAGTGCATTTCCTTTGTGGGCAGGGGCTGCTGAAGCCACCAGAGGAGGGACTTCAAACAGAGACCCTGGTTGGAAGTCTTTGATCCCCGCAAGTCTGCTGGGGTCATATGGAAGCTCTTATCCCCTTTGGCACAAAGCAGCCAGGCTCCTCAGGGTCCTATGCTGGGGAAAACTGGCTCTGGACTCCACTGAGAAACAAAAACACACACTGACCTGGGGACACGCATCAAAGAAGGGCCGGACCCCTGGCGTTGCCAGTAGGCCAGGGAAGGCCGCAGGGACACGCGTGTCTGTGTGTCTGTGTACAGTGTGTGTATGTGTTCTTCCCCAGGTCCCCCAGCCCAGCCAGCCAGTGGGCCACACCTGCACCCCAGAAGCCTGCACCTGGTTGAGACCACACCTGCAGAGCGCTCCTCAGAATTCTGTGCAGCGATACAGCACAGCCGCACCACCAACCCTGCACATGGAAGGCACTTCTTCCAACAAGCTTCCTCTGCACCGCCTCCCTCTTTCCTCCCACGGCCCCGCGGGTGCAAAAGGGCAGGCAGGGACTTCCTTTCCTAGAAGCTGAAGCAGAGGTGCAGCAAGTAACAGGACCAGGAAGAACCAAGGTCGGGGATCTGGTTTTGTTTTTTTTTTTTTTTTTTTTCATTAGGACATCTTGCATTTTAAGGGATGTCTCAACATTCAACAATAACAGCTGATAGCTATGACACAGGCTGAAAGCTCTGGTGGTGTAGCCTTGGGAATTCACACAGTGTTTCCACACAACTCACTTAACGTCCCCAATCAAGGTATGATCGACTTTCGTCCCCATTTTACACGTTTCTGAACAGAGACTAGGAGACGCTCAGTGCATTTCCACGTCCCAGGAGAGGCAGGGAGGCTGCCTCCGTGCGGAGTGGCCCTGCTTCTCGGATGCCTGAATGGAAGAGCTGGGGCTCACCTATGCTCCCCTTCCAGGTCTTCTCTTCCTTCTTCTCCTCGGCCAGCTGGCTGCTGGTCAGGGAGGTCTGCCGGGAGTGCGTCCCAGTGGCAGCCGCGATGGACGGCACGGAGCGGGCAGGCCGCAGGCTTGAGGAGTCTGTCTTGCCCGCGTCTTTCCGGGCCCGCTGCTGAAGGACCTTAATCATGGCGTCCTTCTCTATGATTTTGGCATGGAGATTTTTAATACTGTGAAACAAAGAAAACCGCCTTAGTAAAGAGCGAGGTGGGTAGAAGGTGCGTCTAGTTCGAAGAACTGGAAGCTTTCCTCTAGAGCCGTCCCCAAGATGTCACTGTGGTTCAGGGATGCAGAGTTGGATGCTGCACAAGTCTTCAAGCATTGCAGCCTCCAGATGTGTCACACAGATCTTGTGTAAGAGAACAAAAGGCTGCGCCTTTCTGGAGGCTCTAAGGCTTCTGAGAGGCACAGTGGGAGGGCTGACGGGTACCCACTGGACCAAGGTGGGCTCAGGGACCACTCTGAGGGTTTGGTACTGAGGACAGGTAGTAGAGAGCAACAGGGAGGCACAGAGGCGAGCTTTCAACTAAAGTCAACTTCTCTGTTTTCCAAGAAAAAGAAGTAAAAAGGTGGACAGATTATCTGAAGATGATTTTTCCTTCTGATGGCCAACAATGAGAACCCAAGCCACAGGAGTCCCTCTCACCACTCTGATCCTATCTTGCTGAGCCTATCCACGCCTCAATGATGCAGCCCCATTTTCACAGCTGCACAATGTGAGGCTTGGAGCTCAAATGAGCAAGTAGAGACAAGGCTAGTGTATGTCCAAGGCAAGTAGAGACAAGCCTAGTTTATGCTGGCAATCCTGCGTGGCCTATCAGAACAGGGCATAAGCTAAATACATTCTTTCATTCTAGCTGGAATATATAAATTCTGGCTCAAAAACGCTGGGTCATTGGAATATGACCTGTTCCTCCTTTCTAGCTCAGAATCTCTGCAAAGTCATAGCGACACAGAGGTACTGAGGGCATCTCAGCCTTCAAACCTGCACTGCCAGAACTGCCCCCTTGAGAGCGCCAACTTCGGTCCTGCTGCAGAGCAGAGCGCTCACTGAGGTGGGAGTCCTTCTGTCCAGGGCAGAGCATGGGGGAGGAGACCTCGAGCTCTCAGCTGCAGTCCTCTCTGGAAGCGCCGCAGTGTGAGAGCCACCACGGGCTGGCAGGCCTCACTCAGGGTCTGCAGGTGAGCTGGCAACGCGGGCGCATGTGGTTTTCTCTTACGTGTACTCCATGTCCTGACACCTCCTGTTGGCCTGCACCACCTCCTCCTCTTCCTGCCAGATGTGAGCCTCCAGGGAGCTCTCGCCGTAGCTGCCATTCCGAGAGTGGTTGATGATCGTGGTGTCTCTGGGAACAACAGGGTGAGCACTGGGTCACAGTAAGCCCTCTTGCTTTGTTTCAAGGCAAACACACTCAGAATGGAAAGAGATGGGGTTCATGTCAGAACACAGATCTGTTCCTCACACCCCACTGGTGTCTACAGGCCCTCCCTCTACTTCTCCAGCTCAGTTTCCAATCCAGTCAGATGATCCCACACAGAATGGAGCAAACACTGGTGGACAGGCAGCCCAAGGGTACCATGTGGGAAAAAATAATCTCTCCACAGATTCCTGTACCCACCCTTCCTCTCCTAAATCCCAGACAATTCCCTTCCTAAACCCGATAAAATTAAGGCAGTATGTACAACAAGCAAATAAAATAAAAAATCAAAACTGCCTGCCCCTTCCACTAACAGTGTGCATTAAGCTATATGATAAGTGTGCATACATAGATCAGGCACCTATAGCTTTAATCTACTGACACATGGATACTGTTATATTTGTTGGTGTTTCTAAGCTTGCACTTTTTCATACTGGTCTTTTCATATTTTTCTAGTGTTAAATTTCTGTTTTCATGTTTCAAAATTTTTTATTTATTCATTTTATTTATTTGAAAGGCAGAGAGACAGAGAGACAGAGAGAGTGCTTCAATTTGCTGGTTCACTCCCCAGATGCCCACAGCAGCTGGAGCTGGGCCGAAGCCAAGATCCAGGAACGCAATTCAGGTCTTCCATGTAGATGTCAGGGACTCAACTACTTGAGCCATCACCTACTGCCTCCCCAAATGTACATTAACAAGAATCTGACATAGGGAGAAGAGGTGGAGCTCACACCCAGGGACTCACATATGGAGTGTGGGCATCCCCAGTGGGGGCTTGACTCTTAACCAAACACCCGCCCTGCCATTTCAGTATTTTGGGATAGTGAACCAGGACTCAGTGAAATGGGACTCAGTGAATACCCTAAACAGAGACCAGCCCTCTTGGACAGTGAGGCTCCAAGCTGATTCTTCCTCCAAGTGAATTCTGCCTCATTTCTTGTTCTATGCACCCTGGCTGGGACTCAGGTTGGTTAGGTGTAACAGACACGCTGGGCACCAGGAAAGATGAAGACAGACACTGTGACCTTGAGAAGTTCAACTGAGGTGGTGGAGTGAGGCTAGGAACAGGCACTGGGAGATGAAAATTCTGTTCTGCTGGAAGCAGATGTCAGCCTGAAAACAACTGGTCGAAGATAACTATTCTGGCCACTGGTTTTGTCAATTTAATTACTCCTAATGAACAACAATTAGTAAAAAGATAATTGTGCCAACCAAGTAATGAATCTTAAGATGAAAGGCACAATAATGCCTCTAATTATATGAATAGCAAATTAATAAATGATCTAGTTAAACATTTCACATCTCTTTAATGTCGTATTCCAATGCTACAATCATACTGAAAATCTTAAAAGCTCTTTTCTAGAACACCCAAAACAGCACCAAGAGGCCCTTCTTTTACCCACTTCATGCCACTAATTGTGAATGAGCTGAGTTCCATGCTATGATTGAGCAGAGCATGGTGCTCATGGCTGCCCCTTTCATTCTCACATGTGCAGTAGTGTGGCTGGCCTCAGCACGCAGATGCAGTAGGTGTGGCTGGCCTCAGCACACAGATGCAGTAGGTGTGGCTGGCCTCAGCACACAGATGCAGTAGGTGTGGCTGGCCTCAGCACGCACATGGAGACACCCAGGATGGGCGACCTCCCCAAGAACACCCAGTTAGTGAAGGATGGAAATGGACTCAACCCCAGGTACTTACGCCCCCAAAACCCAGGTCCGTAACCATTACTCTACATTCCTGGAGGCTTCCTTTGTGTTTTAAAAGAAGGCCTCAGCAAAGACGCATAAATATAAAATAAAATAATGAAGCAAGAGTGAACCTGTGAGAATGTGGTCCAGAAAATAAACTGTCTGGAAATATATCATAATGCCAACATATGCAGAAAGCAAACCAAATTCTTTAATTACACGCACAAAAATCATCGATATAGGAATAAGCAGTTGAAACATTTTCAATATTTCAACCAATTTACTTTTGGAAAATTCATAGAGCTGGAGACAAATTTAAAAACTCATTTTTGTACTGCCAAGTAAGGACAGCAGGCACAATTAGATGAGAACAACTTAGAAACAAAACTCTGAAAAAAATTATATTGCTTTGAAACCTGTAAAAAGTTTCAAAACCTTCCCCACATATACAAAATAAGCCCACCTTGTAAAAAGTCTGATTGGTAGTATCGAGATGCATAAAGACAGCGAAGCCAGTTGGTGTGCAAAAATTACCTTTTTTGTTTAAAACTCATTGTTTAGAAATGTGAGGTATGCATCAGTGGCTGAAAAGTCACAGAACTGATGACTAGAAAAAGCCATTTTTGCCAATTTATCTCTAGCCATTTAGCATCTAATCTAGACGAGAACTCAGAACTTCAACATTTCTCAGAAATATTTCATTTTCCTTTTCCCCCCTTACTAGCAATACAAAAGCAAAGGTGAAATTACAGAGGTTTTCTTGGAAAAGAACATTAAGATTTTCATCCATCCATCTATCCACCCACCCATTTATTTACCCATCCATCCCTCCTTGCATCCGTCCATCTTCCAGAACTTCAAACAAAACACTCAGGGAGAGGCAGAGGGCTAGTGTTAGGGCTCAAACAGGACTTGGCTCCCCAGATTCATACAAGCACTTAAGCCCCACTGTATTATGTTAATGGCTAGTGATTTAATCATTTTAAGGATTCTGGTGGAGGCCTGATCCAATTGTGTTGTCTGAAGATAGGGCCTTTGGAAATTGGCTGGATTGGTTTAGATGGCTAGGGTGGCTCCTGGGATTAAATCACAATGGCTTTATACAGAGAGACAGAGAAAGGGCAGAGGAAGAGTGTGCTGCCTCTCTGTTTCCTGTTTCACCCTCCCTCCATATGTGTTCTGCTCTCATTAGGTGCCAGGTTAATGGGGTCATCCTGTCTTGGACTGTGGAGACCTCCAAAACTGCAAACCAAAATAAGCCTTCCTCTTTGCTAAGAAGATCCTTTCAGGTATCTTTAGTTAAAATAATGAAAGGCAGACTAACACAGTTGGATAAATTCCACAGTGTTTTCTGGGTACCTAAAACAAACCCCCTTGCATGAAAGATAAACAAGGATGGGCCTAGAATCTGCGAGTGGGAGATAATGTTTGGGGTCTGTCTGTATTCTCTGCCACCCTCAAGTCCTAAACCCACCATGTAGTCTATGCTTCAGACCTGCTGCTTCCTCCATTTCTGATTTTGCTTTCTAGTCCCATCCACGCCCTCAGAGCCCGGGATTGCAGACAGACATCTCATCTGCTAAAAACAATGATACACAAGGGCCCCCACACCATCCCCCACGGTAACACATTTACACTGCTACAGGAATGCAGTCAGGCTCCCTGTTCCGAACCAGTCCACAGCTCTGATTTCCATTTCACACATGAGGTTTGCCACACTTAGACGGGCTTGTCCCACATCACACACTCATAGCCAGTGACAGACAGAGAAGCCTTGACTGGAGGGGTCCTGCCTCCCTGTGTAGGGTCCTCATTAACATCACACTGAGAAAGGGAACTTGTCGGGCAACTGTTGACAGCAGTGCATTAGCCCCTAACCCAACATAGCGGGCCAGGCCCTCTGTAACCTTAGGATGGTTCGCTGTCTTCCCCAGGACAGAGAGGTAAGTTAGTTGTTAGCTTAGCAACCAAAGAGCTCATCTTCAAAAGGTCTATTTCAGAGGGTTGCACTGTTCTCGTCTGTCCGTACGGTGCAAGGACTGAACTGGTGGCTGTAACTTCCCTCCCGTTCTCACCCCACAACTCCAGAGCTGTCCATGCCTGATTCAAGTGTCTGTTTCATTCCTGAGGCTGCAATCAGATGTTAGAGGCTATTTCCATTACCAGCCTAAACATCCATGAACAACATGTGAGCACTGGAAAACGATCCCCAAACAGCTATTTTGCACATGGGTGTGCAGGTCTTCCTGTCTGCAGATATAAGTGTCCTGGGGGGCACGTCATGGAGGTATCTTGCAAATATAAAGACTCTGCTTGCTCCAGTCCTTGGATCCATCAGGCTAGACTCCTGCGGACTCTGCTCTACTTGAGCAATGAGCCTGAGTGCCCGTGAGTAGCTTATAAAGTGTCTCCCTCCATCTCAGCTACCTTCTCATACTCTTTAAGGAAGAAATAAAACACGCCAAGGCAATGTGGAATTGAATCCATCAGCAGTCGCATCCTGGGCTTTAACTCATTGTGCTCGGTTCATGTCCTACAAGCCCTAATGGCTCAATAACAACCCTTATTTCCTAAGAAGTCTGGTTCTGGATGCTCCTTTGAAATCTGAGGATCTCCGCCAACTATACTGACCATAATTTTTGGCAAATTCCAAGCAACTTTAAATTAAATGACCAAAATAATTTATGGGCAGGAAACAAAGTGAGTGGTGGGAGGCAGTGAGGGGCTAGACTGGCCCAGTGCACGCGCCTCCGGCGTGTGCAGCAATGATGTATGTAGGAGACATCCTGCAAACAAAGGGCAGTGGGATACTGCCTTGCTTGCCCAGGCAGCACAGGGTTTCAGTCAAATTCCTGAGCGTTATTGTTTGAGTTACTGCACCACTTGATCTAATTCTTAAAGGAAGAATAAGGCTGTGCATCTATAGGAAGAAAGCAGAGAGAAAGAGGTAAACACCGACAGCAGCAGAGAACCATTTCAAACCAGGTGAAGTAGGGTTTTAAGTCGGACAAGCCTCCATTTGACCTGTGGCCCCAGCACAGACTGCTGGACTGGTTTGTATCAACTACTGCCGTCTCATTTTCTTCACTTGTCAAATAAGACAAGAACAGCCCTTGCTCTCAGGGTTGCTATGAGGATCATAACTTCTTCTCATCTGGCCCGTGATATACACCCAGCATTAATATGCTATCACAACGTCCTTCTTTATGATCCCACAGGATGCCCCTGTGTGGATGTAAGTGGCTAAGTGCGTCTCCTCATGTTGGACTCTGGAGTGTTTCCAATGCGCTGATGCTTTCAGCAACGCTGGGGTGGACATCCTTGGACAGACACCTTCAGGCACTCACATAATGGTGTCCTCAAGATAAATGTCGAGAACTAGGAGTTTGGAACCAAATTATCCTCCAGAGCCGTTAGACCATTTTGCTGTCCAGCTAGCACCACAGACATTTAAATGATTTTTAGCTGACCTCACGCCCCAGGAAGGGCTCCTGCACCTCTTTGGGTGCCTTGCTAGCTTGGTTTTGGTTACCATTTTTCCCTCCTGCAGGGTTTCGCCGGCTCACCTTTCTGCTGCAGCGGTGGCTGCGGCGTTCATGGCAAAGTGCCGAATGGTGCTCTCCTCCAGGTACTTCTGCTCCCACTTGGTCATGTCAGCCTCCAGGGCCAGGATCCGCTCCTCCTTTTCCCGCACAAGCTCCATGAGGGCCGGGGCATTGTATTCTGGCATGCTAGCTGGCTGGCCATTTCCATGTTTCTGGAGAAGCAGAAATAACATCTTGCTGTTCAAAATACGGAATGAAGTAAGACCACATCAACCCAGTCTGTGCAAGTGCCCACAAGGAGCACACATCTGCCCTAGATCCTGCAGCAATTCACATCCATCAGCATCATGGCCTTGCTCTCCATCTCCAGAGCGTGCAATCCTGATTCAGTGGATCCTACCACCACGCTATCCCACCTCTGCCTTCCTCTGTCTCATTCAAATTTCATGGAGCTCTATAAAATACACCGTATTACCTCCGCTTGACAGATGAAAAACCAAGCTTCTGGGAGGTTAAATGAATGGTTTGATGTCTCTCAGCTAATCAATAGCTGGATCAGAATTCAATCCCAGTTCTTTCTGGCTCAACAGCTCAGGGTCTTTGCATGACAAGTGACTAGTCCAATGCCTTGCAGTTAATTTATGCCAAAACAGGAACTGCAGTTGGGTCTCTTTCTAGAACACTTTTCTCCAGAATTCAAGGAAGTGATCCCAGTTGTCAATTTCCCCGATGCTGGGAGACAAAATGGAAAAGCACGGGAGGTTGCAGCGAGATGCCCTGACACGTGTGCTCTCCCAGCATCCACACCTCCCTCACGTAAAGGGCTGAGAATGAGAATCAAATCAGACAGCCACGGAAGCTGAAGACCACCAATGCAAGGCAAGCTCATTTTCAGCCTTTTCCTTCTAGCAGTGTCAGTAAAAGGGGATAAAGGTGGCTGCTATCTGTGCTGCACACAAGCTGATGATATTTACACTTCAGACTTGCCTTTGAACTATTTCCTATTTCCTCTAAAGGGCATGAGGTAGAGGGCGAGGGGGGTTTTGACGAGGTTCTGTCTTCAGACTGGCAGTGCCGACAGGCCACCTTGGGAACTAACTCAGTGTCAGGCGCCAGTCCCAGCATGAGCTGGGCTCCTTCCTGCTCCAGTGGAGAATGGTTTTGTCCCAGTTATTCTACAACCTGAGACACACATCCCCTCATGCCCACCACTGATGGCGGTCTTAAATGCAAAGCTGGCTGCATGGTGAGAGGTATCTGAATGTTTTACACAGAATCCCTAATGTCCTAGATTGGGCGATCACCTAAGAGCAACAGCTGGGCATTTTGGGCTGCACCAGTGCAATCCAATCCTGTCAGACGGAAGAGAACACATGGACCCCTGAGCATTTGGGAAACCATATGTTTCTATTCATTTTTTAAAGCTACAAATAGAAATGATTCTCAGAAGTGGCAGCTTGCCAACAACCAACATTTAAGGAAGAACAGAGCGGAAGGCACATACCTGTCCTCACCTGGCCTGCAGGAAGCCACTGACCCCATCTGGCCAGTCACCTGGACCCAGGCAGGAGGACAAATGAACCAGTCTATCAAGATGAACTGCTCCTCTATTTTTAGAAACTTTCCAAGAAAAAGCTCCCACAGCCTCACTAAGCTGCCATCCATGCCTGTCAGTTTCCATCTAATCCCTTCTGTTACCATTTCAGCGGTTTGTTTTTCCAAAACCCTCTTGACCTCACATGAGATCATGACAACTCTTCACAGGCCCCCTAATTCAGGCCATTAAGAGTTATTTAAATAAATGCATGAATTTCAGCATTCAAGCGTACAGAGGCAGCACAGTCTAATGGGCAAGTGTGCTAGCCATCAAAGAGACTGAGGGTCAGGCAGGACAGCTTCTGTCGCCCATCCAGCTGATCCACACAGAACGTGTGCAGGGGACGTCACAGCGAACAATACAGACAACATCTTTGCTCTTGATGTGTCCACATGGGAGGAATGTCCTAACAATCCACGGCTGCCTTCATTGCTCTGCGCCTCATTTTCCCCTTCTAGAACATTCCCATCTTCTCTCACCTCACAGGATTAGTGTGGAAGTACAACAGTAGTAAGAACAGCAATAGGAGTTACTCTTTCCTATTGGATTGCTACATGCCAAGCATTGTGGTAAGCACTTTGTGCAGTTTATAAAAAAAGTTTATTTATTTGAAAGGCAGAGTTACAGAGAGGGAGAGACAGAGACAGAGATCTTCCATCCGCTGGTTCACTCCCGAGATGGCCAAAATGGCTAGAGCTGTGCCAGGCCAAAGCCGGGAGCCTGAACTCTATCTGGGTCTTCCATATGAGTTGCTGGGGCTCAAGTGTTCACTCGGGCCATCTTTTTCTGCCTTTCCAGGTGCATTAACAGGGAGCTGAGTGGGAAGTGGAGCAGCCAGAACTGAATTTCCTCATGTTATGGACCAGGATGCTGAGGCTCAGAAAGATTACTCACCCAGGGCTCCGCCTCTGGAAGGAGAAGGCAGGAGCCAACGCTGGCTGGCTCAACCCTGGAGACCATGGTCTGACTCTCTCTGGGATCCTGTGCCACCCTGCTCATCTCTGGGGCATTGCCTTCTGGAAGCATCCAGGGCATCTTGCAGCAACGGGAGGTCTGTTGTTTGTGGGGCCAGGGGAAGAGGCGCTGCTGTGTTCTGGTGTGACTCCAAAGGCAGGGCCCTTGCATGGGGAGTAAAGCGCCTTACGCTCTGCTCTCAAAAAGCCTCTTCAGAGGAACGGCCTTGGAAAGCAGCACAGCAGTGGGGGTGGTCTTACTGTTCTGCTGAGAGTGGAGATGACGAGGGGCTTTGTTAACAGTGTGAGCTCAGCATGCTTTCTAACTGGCTCAGACAAACACCTCACTGACACAGGGGTGAGGCCGTGGGGGTGGCATGGACTGTCCCCATGCCTGTGCTGAGAAGTGGCACGAGGGTGAATGGGGCCATCAGAGAGATTCCTGGACAGCCTTGCCCAGAAAGCCAAGTTTCTCAGCTGACTTTGTGTTCTATGGCAGACTCTGCGTCATCCCTGCTGAGGGCTCGCAGAACTGTGCTCTCCCCACCGGTCCAGGGGTTCCAGAACTGAGTATAACCAGACTTTACCTAGTGAAAAACTCACAATTTTTTGGGTAGATTTATTTGAAATAACATTTTTACCTCTTTTTGTTAGAGTAATGTATGCTCAGTGGTAAAATCAGAAAATGTATTAAAGGGGAACACTGAAACTAGTGCTTATCCTTTTTAAGGAGTAGACAGAACAAGACCATCTCTGAGTGCACCGTGCATCACGGGAGACAGACTGATCCTCTCACTTGTTTGAAAACTGTGATGCCAGTTCTCAACAGATGTCAAGCATCAACGTCCTAGTCAACCCCGAAGACTGCCTCTCGTCTGTGGGCTACAGATGGCTACAGGTCTGCGATCAGCTCACAAAGACACATCCAGAATGCACGTAGAGTAATTTCTCTGGGGAGCTTCAATCTGGCCATCTCCATCCTCCATTGGTGCGCCCAGAGCTGTCAGTAGCCTTTATGCATGGCAGGAGTGCTGCTTTGCCTGTTCTCAGGAAACTGTGTGAGTGAGTATGCATGAGTCTGAGGGTGCACATGGTGATCCGTTCTCTGTGGCAATTAAGATATTTTTCAGAGAATCCTAACCTCAGAGCTCTTGTTCATACACAGTAAGCACAATGGAGTTGAGTCTCACCACACTCAAAAGAGCCAAAAATCTGTAATCTAACTGCAGAGTGTGGATGGCACATTAACTGGAAAAGAACATTCTTTGTTGCTTTAAAAGCTGGGATGTGCCCATTTTGCCAACTTAAGACTCCTACGGGTCTACTGCAGGCTGGCTGGCACTTACCTGGTTCCAGAGAAGTTCTGCCCTCAGGTTGGGGAGGTAAAACATCTAATGACTGAGCAACAGAGAACAGTTGGAGGGTACAATTTGTGCCAGGGTATGTGGCACAGGTTACGGGTGCCAGAAGTTCAGCCACTGTATGCAGGATGGGAGGAGGCGGGGCTGGGTTCCTTAATTTTCTGGGCAACCCTTCTCCAGCCAAGTGCCCACATCCAGAGGGAACTGCATGGATCTGCCCTGCGACAGGGCTGAGCTGGCCTGAGTGCATGCTTTCAAGTGTTTTCAAGTATCTCAAACACAACCACTGTGGCCCATATCCAGTAGATAATTCCATGGAGCTCTGCACTCTGTGGCCCTGGTATCCCAGTTTAGAGCACACCCTTCATCGGTGGCATAAAGGGCTTTGCCCACCAGCCTGGTGATGATGGACAAACCCCAGCTCCTTTGCAGCCAGAAGGCCCTGACCAGCTTGGAATGGAGTTCCCCGAGATTGGGGTGTTTCGTGCTGCGCTCGCTCACAGATGAGTTACATTATCAGCTGTTACCAGCAGAGAAGGGGAGGCAACAGGGAAGGAGCTATGGCCAATGTTATTTCCCAGAGCGGGTGCTGGCTCTTTCACTTTACCTCTGGAAACTCACTGAGCATCACCTCCAGGCACTAGGAACAGCACCCTCTCCCAGCTCTTTCTTTCCATCGCTCCAGGAATTCCTGCTGTCACTACACCCTGCATGATACGAAGCCTGGGGACTTGAGCCCTGATCTCACCATCCGCTCTCCAGACTGTCCCCTGATAGGACCGGAGGGCCCCCTTCTCTGAGCCTTCGCACCAGATTCCTCTCCAGCTTGAAAACCTCCGTAGTGCTGGCTTCCTCTGACTACAAGACAAAGCCCAGTCGCTCCACCTGACCAGATGCCCTTCCCAAAGTGGCCTCCCCAGCCACCCCAGCAGGCATTCTCCCCTAGCCAGCGGCACCCAACTGCCCTGACCTTGCCACGCTGGCCCATGGCCCTTTCCCTTGCACATGCTTTCCTTTCCCTCTCTCTGAGGTTTCCACCTTCGACTGCCCACAAACTCATCTCTCAAAGTCCAGCTCAGATGTGCTCCTCTGGGAGGCCATCTGAAGCCACATGCCCCACCCCCCCACTCCAGCCCAAGCCAGTAGCTACTTTCTCTCTGTGAGGACATTTGTTGCTCCACAGTGAGTGGACTGCTAGACTCCCCCCCTGATGGCAGCGCAGGTCCCTGAGGACAGGGAGCTCTTGCTTCCCTCTGAGTCTGGCGTGCTGAATGAACACATCCGATTCATCTGCTGGCCCGGCTTCCGTACCTGCTGGGTTCTCAGCGCATCCAGCTCTCGCTCCAGCCAGGTCCGCAGCCTCCGCTCCATCTGCTCCCGCTTCTCGCATGCGGACTGCAGCTGGGTCAGGGCCTGCTGCAGCTTCTCAACTTTCTCCACATAGGCTTGCTTCTCTCGTAACTGAGTCGAGAAGGGTGAAGAAGAGCAGAGTTCAGACCAACGATTTTCAGTGTTGGGGTGGAAGCAGGGGTCGCAGTACCTGGAGGTCCCCTTTAAACTACAGGTGCACGCACTTGCGTACTACTATCCCTCAGGTTTGCTGGGACAGAAAAGAGGTGCAGAAAGGCCGTCGGTTACACTTAAAATGACTAGGATATCTGGAAATGAAGACTCCGCCACAGTATCTGCTTTTGGTCATTTCTACAGCTTTGAACTCAATGCTTGGTTATTGCTTAATAATAATAGTGTTGGCAGGCATTATGAGGTTAACAAAATTTTCAATATCATGAAGAAATTCTTATTCCACAAGATCAAATGAAAACTCCAGGATTAAAAACTTATACACTAAATTGCAACAGGCATTGCAGAGCAGAAAGTTAAGCTGCTGCTTGTGACACCAGCATCCTATATCAGAGTGCCAGTTTGAGTCCCAGCTCCTCCACATCCCCCAATTCAGCTTTCTGCTAATGCACCTGGGAAGGCAGTGGAAGGTGGCCCAAGCACTTGGGGCCCCTGTCATCTATGCGAGACTAGGTTGCAGTTGCCAACTCCTGGCTGTGACCTGGCCCAGCTCTGCCTGTTGCAGCCATTTGGAGAGTGAACCAGCAGATGGAAGAGTTCTCTTTCTCACTGTTTCTCCTTCTCTCTCTGTCACTTTGCATTTCAAATAAACAAATCTTCAAAACACTACACACTGAACAAAACCATGAATCTATCCATTCATTCATCCATCAAAAAAGACTGGAAGGAAATATTTAAAGCATTAACTGTGAATATTTATACAGAAATTTCTTCTCTCATCTTTTCTTATTTTCAACTTTTCTATAATAAATATAAATTACTTTCATAAAGGAGGAATTATGTGTGCATATATATATATATATATATATATGCAAGTGTACCCAGTTGTGTATGTGTGAATAAATACAGTGATTTCTTTGTATTGATACTTGTAGGGTAGCTTTCTCCTAAAGCTTTCAGAGTCCTTTAGAAATGAGTAGTTGACAGCCCTGAGGAGTCAGGAAGGGCCTAGTGAACACTCCTGCAGCACAATAACTGAGTACTTGGACCGACGGTTAGAGTAACTTATGTAAATATCGCATCAGGCATGGATTAGGATCATGGCCAACAACCTCCAACTCTTACCCTGACTTTGTTTTCTTCCAGTCAGGAGTTTAGCCCATGGTCATAAAAGCTGGGAACATTTCTAACTTTCTGGAACTTGGCTGGTGTCAAAAACTAGGCCCAGACATCTACTTGAACTGGCCCGGGTGAGAAGACACCAGGTGGTGTTTCCTGTCATTCTGCACCTGGGTGTGCAGATGCCTTGCAGATGAGTCAGTCCTGAGCTCAACCCATGATTACCCCAGCAAGCCAGCACAGGCTAGTGATCTAAGAGCCTGCTGCCAAGTGAAGTTCCTGACTTAGCTGGCCGCACTGCCATGAGCTCTCGTTGTCCCCTCTCCTATCCAAAGCTAATGGAATAAAATGGAGGAACTTCTGACATTTTAAGGAAGGGACAGCAGCTTTACAGATTTTTCTACACTTGTTCCTTTTTGGGATCAGTTTTCATCTGATCTTGGCATTCTCTGTGCTTTTTTATTTTTATTTTTTTAACTTTTTGACAGGTAGAGTTAGTGAGAGAGAGAGAGAGACAGAGAGAAAGGTCTTCCTTCTGTTAGTTCACTCCCCAGATGGCCACTACGGCCGGCGCGCTGCACCGATCCAAAGCCAGGAGCCAGGTGCTTCCTCCTGGTCTCCCATGAGGGTGCAGGGCCCAAGCACTTGGGCTATCCTCCACTGCACTCCCGGGCCACAGCAGAGGGCTGGACTGCAAGAGGAGCAACCGGGGCCAGCGCCGCGGCTCACTAGGCTAATCCTCCGCCTTGCAGCGCTGGCACACTGGGTTCTAGTCCAGGTCGTGGCGCCGGATTCTTTCCCGGTTGCCCCTCTTCCAGGCCAGCTCTCTGCTGTGGCCAGGGAGTGCAGTGGAGGATGGCCCAAGTGCTTGGGCCCTGCACCCCATGGGAGACCAGGAGAAGCACCTGGCTCCTGGCTTCGGATCAGCGCGGTGCACTGGCCGCAGCACACCGGCCGTGGCGGCCATTGGAGGGTGAACCAATAGCAAAAGGAAGACCTTTCTCTCTGTCTCTCTCTCTCACTGTTCACTCTGCCTGTCAAAAAAAAAAAAAAAAAAAGGAGCAACCGGGACTAGAACCCGGCGCCCATATGGGATGCCGGCGCTACAGGCGGAGGATTAGCCAAGTGAACCACAGCGCTGGCCCCCTCTGTGCTTTTGATTGCTCAATTCAATGTAACATATTTTTGAAGACCTACTAAGTTCAGGTTCCTGTGTTTCTTAGAAGCTTCATCTTTTCAATTATTTTGTCTGCAGCACCCACACACAACCTAGTATGTCCTCCACTGCACAGTTTCTGCATGCGTAGCCACTATAGGCATGTGAGATTTGTCCCCAATGACTGCAACAGTGCCCAGTAGGTGCTCAGCAAGTCTTTATTAGATGAATGCGTGAATATTATCCATAAGCAACTGCAAGTTCCTTGAGGGCATGAACTTGCCCCCTTCCCCTCTGAATCAGCAAGGAGTACCTCATCACGAGGATGGTCAGTAACCGTGCTGGTACTGCCCAGCATTTCAGCACTGTGCTTTATGTGTAGTGTCTCATTTAATTCTCCCAACAACAGTAAGAGGTAAAGCCCTTTATTACTTCCATTTAAAAGATGAAAAAACTGAGGACTGAACAGGTTAAGTAACTTGCTCAGGGTCACACAGCTGATACTAGCACAGTAGTGTGGCCCTGCACGGAACTCTCAATCACCATGGAAAGTTACGGCATGTATTCGATGCATGCCTTCTGATCTGAAGTGGCACCCTCCACAAGATTCTTTAGTAAGAACAAGAGGTGATTCTGGAAGCCAGAGACATGAGACTAATTTTAGAGAGGCTACCTGCAACCAATGATTTTATATGAATATAATGACAAGAGACCCACATTAGTGCTTGTGAAGATACTGTCTTTAGGGAGGTTGCAAATAACTTTTATTTTAATATAAATATTAAAACTAAATGTTTTAAAAATTGTGTTTTTTCCTTAGCTCCACACACAGAGATAGAACCTGCAGGAGTGACTCAGTGATGATAATAATAAGTGGCCTGTCTTCCTCAGAGCAGACTTCCTGTCTGAAGAGGGTAAGGTCAGTTTCTGGAGTGAATTCCTGAGTGGCAACCAGGAAGACACTGCGGGCTCCTGCCCAGGATCCTCTTGCAAGTATTAAGATTTTCATTGCTATTTAGGACTTGGAGGGAGGCGGGGATTCAAGGCTTATTATGAGCAATACTCTCATTTACTCCCCAATCTTCCTCTTTAGCTGCATTACCCTTGCAGGGAAAGTTGACAGAGACAGCTGAGGATCCAAGCAGCAGCAGATATTTCCTGAAAGGACAGCTTCTTTTTTCAACATCAACACCAAAGCTGGACTTTCTTTGTGCTTTCTTTGTGCCAAGTGCCCAGTGAAGCACTCACGTAAGCTGTTCCAGGTCGGCCTCTGCCAGAGGCTGAGCTTGTTTCCCACGGCGGAGCCTGCTCAGGTCAACCCTCACCACGCAGGCAGCTGCAGGTGCAGGGCACAGGCTTCTGTGTGCTAGGCCATGCCTCTCCTCTCTGCCTCTGCGTCTACAGCCCGGACCCCCCAGCCTGGAACTCAGAACTGGCTGTCCTAATTCCTCCATCAGGATTACAGGGAGAGTCTGCCTCCTAGAACCTCAGTTAAAGCAGATTCCACTAGAAACTACTACACCCACAATGTCTGAGCAGGATCAAAATTTCCTGGATTGGAGGGTCACTGCCTGGTTGACCAGTCAACTTCTGGAAATGGGAAACAGGGCTGCTGACCCAAGGACAACTGAACTATTTAAAAAAAAAATTGCTAGTTTCTTTTCTGTGGAGGCACCAGTGGTTTCCATCCCTTCCATTTATTTCCAGCCTTGGACACTTGCCAACCAATGGCTGGAGGTTGGGCTTTAGACTGCGTGCGAGTTCTCTCTGGAGGGTAGTCATGGGTGCCTCTCATGCCTTGCTGGCTTTGGGATGGATCAATCCTTTTTTAATTTATTTTTATTTGGGATGTTTTCCACACCCCTCCCCTGCCTCAGCTCCTTGGGATTGGCTCTGGTTAAAGCAGTTGGGTAGGAAAAGGAAGTGAAGGCCCTTGGGGCTCTGCCCGCCTCCCTAACCCCATCTCACCTCCTCTTCCAGCTTGATGACCCTGGCCTGGGCGTTGCTCAAAGCCTGGTCCAGGATCTCAATGTGCCTCCGGTGGTCCTCACTCGCAGTCCGCACTGCCGCTAACTCCATTTCTAACTTCTCTTTTTCCTTCAAGAATTCTTTGTCTAGAAGGGAGAGAAGAACAAAACTACCTCTATCAGAAAGTGCCCTCTGGGCTCACTGCCAGTCTACATCTGGCAAGGATTAAAAATAAAAAGCATACAAATAGTAGAGGATCGAGTTACTGTTTTTATTCCTCAACAGTGGTGGTTGTGTAAGGTAAGAATTTTCTCAAAAATCACTGCTAGGTCTAGACACATTCCAGGTCACAGTTCCAGAAATGAACGGCACACAGAGAGCTAGTGACCTTATGGTCTCCATAACTCAATTCTCTACAACACTGACTTTAATGCTTCAGATGAATCTTGTACCAATTATTTCATTTTATGCTCACACCTCCCCTGCTACCATTTTCCAAGCCTGTGCTGAGGGGAGAGGCAATAGTAACAGTAATATTAATATTCTCATTCATAAAAATAAACCAAGATCCAGAGAGTTTGGTCTTAGGCCAGACTGCAAAGGTGAGATTACAGGTCAGGTTCCAAACTCTTATTGGATCCTCTTCCCATATAACCTGGCCCTTATTTGCTCCTAGTTCTTTTTGAAAGACGAAAGGGGCAGTGCCATAGATTTAAGAAATTTTCTTTCCTCTCATTTAGCAATGGTGGTCACTGTCTCTTTTTTTCATGTGGGAAGCCACTGCAGGGCACCCTCAGACCTTTCTCTCCATTTCCTGTGCTGACTTCTCTATTCTCTTAGATTAAGCAGAAAGGACCCGTAGGGTCATGGGACCAGCATTTCTTATGAAAAGTGCTTTCCTGTTACAAAAGCATCACATTTTCTTTAAAAATAGATGAGATAATTTAGATATGTTGTGAATGATTCGGAAAAGCCTGAAAGAACTTAAGATACAAGAATAAGGGACGGGTCAATAAATTACTGTACACTTTCCATAAGAATAGGATGTAGCCTTTGAAATTAAAGAAGAGAATGGAAATTGTTTTCATTATTAAAAAAGATGATTACAAAATCATATGACATTCTTCTATATTTATGGAAACAAGGCATCTACGACTCGTTACAACAGGAGCAGCAACAACAGTAGGTAGAAATTGAGTTCTATGTGCACACATCATTTTCGCACGTAGTATCGGTTATGTCAATCCCAGTAATTTACACTGAAACAGATAGTCCAAGTCAGGAAGTCACACCAGCATGTCAACAGTGGTTGCACTCATTCATTTCTTCCTGCAGTCACTCATTAATGTAACAAATGGTCATCAGATATGGAAGACTTGGGCTCTGCAAGCAGTGGAAAGAATGCTGCAGTAACAGTAACAGAACAGAAAGTGTGGTTATGAATACAGGGCATAGGAATTAAAAAGACACTTTCAGATTGCAAATCTCAGATAACAAACTCACAACTTTAGAGGCAGAAGGGATTACAGGAAACACCAACATTCAGTTCAAGGCCCTTCACTTTATGCATGAGGAAGGAAGGCCCAGAGGAGAGAAGGCTCTTGTCCAAGATCCCAGTGCCAGCTGGGGCAGGGCCATGCCAAAGCCCGGCTCTCCTGATGTCCCACTATGATGTCCTTTCAACTCGACTGCTCTACCCTTGCACTGTGAAATCACATTGATGAAATCAGAGGGCAAAGGAACAACTTCTGAATGAACAGACAGACTTGTCATGCTGAGTAGTGGCTGTGTTTCCCAGAAACAAGGGCATCCCTTGGAAATAAAATGAGACCACCAATGTCCTGACCCAGGATAGAGCATTAATTTTAGGTTCTTTATGCCCTACTTCAGCAAGCCACTGCCTTTCCTCCTCCTCCCTTTCAGAAGCATTAGAAATACTGCCTAACGGGGCCAGTGCTGTGGCTCAGCGGGTTAAAGCCCTGCCCTGAAGCGCTGGCATCCCATATGGGCGCCAGTTCTAGTCCCGGCTGCTCTACTTCTGATCAAGCTCTCTGCTGTGGCCTGGGAAAGCAGTAGAAGATGGCCCAAGTCTTTGGACCCCTGCACCCATGTGGGAGACCTGGAAGAGGCTCCTGGCTCCTGGTTTCAAATCAGTGCAGCTCCGGCCGTTGCGGCCATCTGGGGAGTGAACCAGTGGATGGAAGACCTCGCTCTCTGTCTCTACCTCTCTATATAACTCTGTCTTTCAAATAAATAAAATAAATCCTTAAAAAAAAAAAAGAAAAATACTGCCTAACTTCTTTCCCAAATCATGGAAAATAGGCAATAAAGAGGTCTAATAATTGGGTTGGTGGCAGCTCATTAGCTCTGTGCCCCAACATCCATTGGCTCTGAATGGACTATAGAATTCCACTCTTTCTATGCAAAGACACTTCCGGGTACCCATTGGCCTTGTCCAGCTCTGGGGAACACGACACAAGTTACCAAGCAGGCACACGTGGAGATGCACCAGGACTTAAGGGTTTCTACCTGGTTATGAGAATCAATCTAAGCATGAAAGTTCTTCTCTTTGCTGAGGGCTGTCAAGCACTCACTGATTTTGATCAGAATCAGCAAAATGACAGACTGAACTCAAGAATGGAAGCCACAAGCTTCTTGTATTTTGTACATCAATGAGAACAACTAAAACAGCTCTTCAGTTAGTTTTGAGTTAACACCTTGCCTCTCTTCTCCAAATACATACACACACATAAACACACACGCACACAATGCTTGTGTTTGCTAATTCCTTGACAGGCAGTATCATATTGTCACCAAGGAACAGATTTTAGAATCAGAAGGACTGCATTCAAATCCCAGTTCAGCTTTCTAGCTGTGAAGCCTCAGACAAGGTATTTAACCTCTCTGAGCCTCAGCTCCCTCATCTACCACATGGAAACGGTAACACCTGCACCTCAGTGTCGCTGTGATGACTCTTATTAATGGAGATGGTGCATACAAGGCCTCAGATATTCAAGACTTTATCTGTTTGGGTCATTATTGATCCCCTGGACCAAAAAGAGTGCCTGGCTGAATAATACTGTTGACTAAACAAGTAAGTCTCTACTACGTGTTAAGTTCAATGCCAACAACAGAACAATCATAGCTCTTGTTATGTGTTAGGTATTCAGTACCTCTGTGACCTCCTAACATTCTTTGTTATACATGTAGGGGTGTTCAATTCTACCTTTGAGCCCACCATTCTTTGTGAAGCCAAGACTTATCCTGTGGCTGGTACTGACCAGGGACAACCCCAGCTCCTCCTCTGCCTGGGCTCCCTGAACCCCACAGTGCACATTACAGAACAAGAATGTGGATGCTGGTCAAAGGCTCCACTAGCTCTAGAATGCTTTGCAGGCCTCTGAAATTCATCTTTGTCCTGAGTTTGGTGACTTTAGACTTCAGGCTTTAGCAATGTCATTTAATATCACCCACACTGAACTGAAACTCCTTGTAAGGAAGTAAGGCTAATGATCTCAATTATAAAGTTTTTAAAATGATGCTTGTAGCAAAAATGATAATAACAATATTGGTTCATGTTTGTTGAGCGACTGCTCTCTTCCAGGAATGGTTCCTTATGTTATTCCCATTATATTATTTCCTTTATTCTAAGTTATCTGTATGAAATAGACACCAGTATTATTCCTGTTTTCCAAGTGAGGAAAATGGCACTGAAAAAATACAAGCAATGCCTGTCAATGGCAGAGGCAGGGCTGCCTTTGTATCTCCCAAATGCATGCTCACCAACACAGCCCTGGACTGCCTCTCTTGCACCAGCACGCACAGAGATTAATGGTAAAATAACAGAAGAGCCCCATTGCAACAGAGCTTATTACTGCAAGACCTAAGTATGCCGCAGGTCATATCATATTTCTCAAAAACACAGCAATTACATTCACATGTGTATCCACTTACAAATATTAATTAGTTCAGCATCTACTACACGGAGGTAGACAAGAGTAATGGTAAAAAGCACGGTTCTGGAATCAAACTGCCTGGGTTCAGGTCCGGTTCTACTGTTTATGGTTCTGTGACTTGGTAAGTAAATAAATCTCTTAGAGCTTCAGTTTCTTTGCCTTTAAAACAGGGATCAGAACAGTACCTACTTCAGGCATATAGGAAGTCCCCAGTAAATGTCAACTATGATCACATTTTGATTATGGTTGTTCCAGGAAGTCTGATCAATTCTGGGGCTACACAGTGAGGAGGACATGGTGTTGTGCTCTCAATCTGGCAGTAGGAGAGGCCAGGCTAGGAGCACAGGAGGCACCATGGCAGGTGGCTCTAAGAGATACATGCACAGGGCGCTGAGAACACAGGGAGGACTCCCCATTCAGGCTGGAGGCAAGGGGGAGGGGCACTGTCAAGGTAACACGCCCACATACTGGGCAGCTCTGCACCCAGCTCCTTGGAGATTCTGTGGTATCAGACCCACTGTAAACTCACCTTTTGGGAAATACCCAGGAAGAGCCCCATGAGTGAAATCACCCTCCCTGCTCAGGAAGGCCCCTTCAGTTTCTTACTAGCTAATTCCTTGAGATGGATCTCGAGAAAGACCAGCCTCACATCAAATTTTTGGTTGGGTTCCAATGTATACCCTGAGAATTCCTAGAACAGGCAAGTTGACACAAGGGGATTCTTGCCCAGAATGGTCTGTTTACTCAGTGGATATGAATTACCCTGAACTGTGTGGAGCAGGGAGTTATTTAGACTGATGGCTCTGATCCTGTTTACACAGAAGGATGTCTGTTCATACACTGTTGACTCTTGAAACCACAGTGATGGCAAAGGCTTTGCAGCCAGGCCAACCTGGTTTGATTCTGGCACCTTTACATGCCAGTTCACCTGGGACACACTGACTTTACCCCCTCTAAGAGCCATCTCCTCAGATGAAATTAACAATATCTATTTTGCAGGTTTGTTGTCGAGGATTAAAAGGACAATCAGTAAAATGTCCACTATGGAATTTGGCACATAAGATGCTTGACAAATAATATACTTGTATGTGCACAGGGACTTAGCATGTCCTAGGCGCTGTGCCAACGGCTTTTCAACAGAACATCATTTAATCTTCATATCAGCTCCATAAGCTATGATCTTGGTGTGC